ATATCTGGCTTATTTTGGTTATTTTTTGTACAGATGAGGTCTCACTATGTTGGCCAGGCTGGTCTCAAACTCCTGGGCACAAGTGATCCTCCCACCTCGGCCTCCCAAAGTTCTGGGATTGCAGGTATGCACCACTGTGCCCGGCCTAAAGTCAGGGTTTCTAAGCAATTGCTCCTGAAGTTTCCATGCAGGGTTCCACATCACCTTGCTTACGCAAAATTCAGACAAGGCAACGGTGATGTTTCTCCTTGGCTCCTGAGTCTTGACTGTTCCAACCCCACTCCAGGCACTGCCCCTCCCCAGCCCTCACACATACTCTTGTCCTGCTTTTGTGGGGGATGGCACTGCTGTGCTGGGGAGTCTGCCCACCTGTCATCCACTTTGGCTCTGGGAGACACTGTGGCGAATAGTCAAGTCCTGGTCAGTTCTGGAAGGCACCTACACACATCTCACACCACGGCCTCGTGGAGCCAGGTCACCGGAGTTTCAGGCCACTATGAAAATGGACCCAGGACCATAGGCCATTTTCTATCAGAAGGGCACCCAAGTAAGAACCATAGTTCTCCCTTCCTTTTCCTGGCAGGGGCCTCCCTACCAATCCACTGCTAAGTGTTGGGATTCCATTTCTTGTTTCTTTCATTTATCACTTCTTTATCACTCACACTGGACCCCTGCAGTGGCCTCTTATCCAGCCTCTCCACTACCTCCTGTCTGTAGATCCAACTGAAGCACAGCCTTTATTTTATCACACCAACCCAGAAGAGGCCACAGGGTCAAGTGCATACACTTTGGAGGGAAAATGCAGGCCCCCCACATTCCTTCCTGCTTCCTCTTACGCTCCTGGGCCTTCAGGGCCTCCAGGCCTCCTTCCCTGACCTCATGCAACCCTCCTGCCTCATTTCCTGGATCTTTCTTCTTAGCCTACTAGCATTTGACTTCTATTTATTAGATGCTGAATGCTCACTGGAATGCAAAAGGCAATGGGTAACTGGGGCTCCACACCTGCGCCTACCCCTGACTCATCATTTCCCCCCATAAGCACTGCTCCAGGACGAAATTTTTTTTTAAAGAAGAACTCCTGCTGGGCAGGCGCAGTGGCTCACGCCTGTGATCCTAGCACTTCGAAGGCCGAGGTGGGCAGATTGCTTGAGCTCAGGAGTTCAAGACCAGCCTGGGCAACATGATGAAACCCTGTCTCTACTAAAAATAGAAAAAATTAGCCGGGCGTGGTGATGCGTGCCTATAGTCCCAGCTACTTGGGAGGCTGAGGCATGAGAATTGCTTGAATCCAGGAGGCAGAGGTTGCAGTGAGCCAAGATCGTGCCGCTACACTCCATCGTGGGCAACAGAGCAAGACCCTGTCTCAAAACAAAACATAACGAAACAGAAAAACACACAAACTCCTGCTAAGCAAGTAGATCTGCCTGCTTTGAGATTTCAGCAGATCCTGTGCTTAAAAAGGCTGCTCTGGGGAACACTGAAGAGGTGTTGGTCAGCCTGTTTGCTGGAACTCACATTCAGCCATGGCTACTCATTCATCAGGCACAACAGCCGCTATGCTGAGGACCCACAATATGGACAGGGGCCCAGGACAATGTTGTAATTTCTTTTAAAATCAGAAGAAAATAAACTTTTGGGTCAAAGAAAACATTTTAATATAGAATGACGTATTTACCTTTCAACCAGCATGGTCATGAAATATATATTTTTTAATGTTTTTGTATGGAGCAAGAGGCCCATGAAGGCAAAAGTGCCTAGGGCCCCCAAAAGTCACATCGCAGCCCTGCTTTCAGAGGGGCCTTTGTAGCTACGTAGGCTATAAGATATGTGGGCTAGTGAGCAGGACGCCCGTTGCTGAAGATGGTGCAGGATCTCACTACTCATCTCAATACGGCCGTGGGGAGGCCCCGCTGAGATTAATAACTGTGGTGGTGATGATTTTCTGTTGGGGATTGTAAAGCCCTGGGACTCTGAGCCCCAGAGAGCCCACGCGAGGATTCTGGGCCCTATCTGCACTTGTATCTAGGTCAGCTGTGGGGTCCCTGTTCATGTGGCACTCACGGTCAGCTCTTCAGAAGCACGCTTCCCTCCCCATAGCCCCCGAAAGGAAGACTCCATCCAGAGAAACAGCCTCCCTCACCCCCACCCCAGAAACAGGAGGTTCCCTGCTGAGCAGATGCTTTACCCCTACTGCACAGAAAGGATCCCTTCCCAGCCCGGCCGACCCAATGCAGGGAAAGGCCCACGGGGGAGATTCTGCACATAGGTTCACACAACAACCCCTCCACAGGTCCCAAGAGCTAGTGCCCTGCCTGCTGGCAGGACGTGGGCTGTAATTTCTAGGGAGGAAAAGAGCCCAGCTTTAAAGGCAGTGCGGTCCTAATCTAACAAAGGAGCCCAGGTCCCATGAGCCACATTAGTGGTCTTAACTTTCACACACAGGATGGTGAGCAATCCTGGAATTCACTGCAGAGGCAGACATTTTTGTTCTAAAAAGAGACATTAAGGAGTGCTTAATCACATAAGATGCTTTCAACTCAATTATTCAAACCCAGAAGCCCCCACCAGCAGTGTCAGCAACAGTGTGTAAAGGCAGGATGAGGATTTTGGAGACAAGTGCAGGACGAATGAGGCAGCTAAGCGGTGAGCAAATCCCATGCCTGCCAAGTTCTCAAGGTGACGCTCCACAGAGGCCCCAGCAGTCACTCCTGTAGGGGAGGATCCCACCACAGTCCTGGAGACATATGGCTTCACAGGGACCCCTTTCCAGAGTCCCTCTTTCCATAGCATTGCTTCCCTAACCATACAATCAATGTGATGTATGCAAGCTCTGCAGTCTCAACACAGCCACTCTCTCTGACCTGGGACAGTACCACTTACAGTGTCACCTCCCAGCCCTGCCTCTTGCTGACATGTCCTGTCCTCCTGCCAACAGAAACACCAATCTAGGCATGTCTAGCCCCTATACGGCAAGATCTTGTGCTTCCAGGAGCTGCTCCATTTCTGTATTAATTTATTTCCAGAAAAATGCAGCTGCTGCTACCTCTTCACCTCCTGGAATCCCTGTCTGTTCAGGCTTGCCCCAGCTGCCTCTAGCCAGACCTAGGGTAAAGAAGGCCCTCTGAGACAGCTCTGCCTGCCCCTCCTCTTCCATCACCTTTCACCAACCGGCTCTTTAGAAGTGATGCATCTGGGCTAGGGATGGGGCCTCCTGCATCTAACTGAGACCTGGAGCCTGTGTGCCATTGCCATGTTAACTCAGCATGGCCCTCCACGGTGATCTGACGGAGCGTAACCTTTAGAAGCATCTGCAGCAAGCCATCTGGCGTTGATTTTTCAGCTATACCCTCTGAGGATTCGCCAGCGCTGCCAAGTCATAGTAATTCTTTTCTGGACATGGCAGCTGCTAAAGTGGGTCACCTTGCAATTCTATAGCATTTCTATGGCCTGGAGACAGCCTGCAAAAGGGAGCCTACTTTAAAGTTAGTGATTGGGGTTGTTCTGAGCTGTTAAAGTGATCTGAGGAAGAAGTGTCCAAGAGGACCTTTACACAATGCAATCTGTTTTGTAGATAGTCTTGACTATTTTGAGGCTATCCGACCTAACCTAAATGCCTCTACAAAGCACAACAGGAGAGTTGCTTGGAAGTCTAAGGTTTCTCACCATATGTATGTGAAGAAGAAGAATAGTTAGGATGTCCTGAAGAAGCCATGCCCATTCTTTTTTTTTTTTTTTTTTTGAGACAGAGTCTCACTCTGTCGCCCACACTAGAGTACAGTGGTGTGATCTCAGCTCACTGCAACCTCCGCCTCCCAGGTTCAAATGATTCTCCTGCCTCAGCCTCCTGAGTAGCTGGGACTACAGGAGCCCACCATCACGCCCAGCTAATTTTTTGTATTTTTAGTAGAGACAGGGTTTCACTGCATTAGCCAGGATGATCTCAATCTCCTGACCTTGTGATCTGCCCGCCTTGGCCTCCCAAAGTGGTGGGATTACAGGCGTGAGCCACCGCACCCGGCCAACCATGCCCATTCCTAACGAGTACCCTCCATCTAGAGAGAGAGGCAAGGCCCAAAATGTGGAAATACAAGGGTAGTCTGTTTGGCATCCCTTGCCAGGGTTTAGGGTCTTCTGAGCCTCTCTTCTAAGGGTCACAACGACCTCTGCTCATGAAGGAGTCATCTCAGTGATTCCATAAAGGTCCTTAGCCTTTAATGAGCAGTTCGGCAGCCTCCATCAAAGAGCAGGTGGTCCAGTTCCACCAAGATCCCTGCTCCCTAAGAACGCCTGCTCCCTCCAGTGCCACGTGGTGATTCAAACAGGCAGATGCAGCATGTCCGCCATGCCAATGAAGCCACAGACTTTGCTAGCTGCAGAAGTGGTCCTGCTTGGGCCTGGTGAGACCTGGCATAGCCTGGCAGCCTCATCTCAGGCCCAGGTGCATGACTGGAAGACAGCTCTGTGTGGTGGTGAAGTCCACGTGTAAGTGATTCTTCAAGGTGTACCATAGGCAGGAAGATGGGGATGCAGCGTGTTGCTCAGGGGGCAGTCACGTGTGTGATGTGCTGGTCTGAATGTCCTTAACCTTGTTGTTTTCCTACCTCTTCACTCCTGACAAGCTCACCCTTACCATGGCTGTAGCATTATGAAATCAGGGATGACGTCTAAATCTTCAGTTCTGATCTCTCCTCCTCTAAAGATCCTGTATCCAACTGCCTGGTGCTCATTTCCAGTGGATGTTCTGGGAGCACCTCTCCCTCCAATGCCTGACCCTGCACTGAGGCCTCGCCCCCACCAAACACGCAGACACCGAGGCAGAACCCTGGGCTCATTCCAGATTCCTCCCTTCTCACACCGCCCACACCCCTGCAACTAAATGAGAAGTGGTTAGAGCTCACAGTTTTTGCGTGGCGGGTGCTGTTCTAAACTTCATGTGTGTTAGCTCACATCGCCCCACAGACCCTGTAAGACAGGCACTATTACAATTCCCATTTCGTGGGTGAGGAAACTGAGGCACAGAGACTTCCACAGAGACACCCAGCTAAGTGCCAGAACCAGAAGTCAAGCCCGCGTGGTCTGGCTCTAGGTGCTGCGCTCCTTTGTCGCCTCATTAAGCCTGCTTGCTTCTGGTGCTTGAGGTCTGTGTGAGGTCTCCAGACTCTCCTCTCTGTACCGCTCAGCATGGCCATGGCAGCATCCTCCTCCACGCACCAGTCTCCCAGATTCAACACATCTCGGCAGCTAGAAAGGCATCACTGAGGTGTGATCGTGCTGCCCCCTGCCCAGAGTCCTCCAGCGGCTCCCAGATATTGCAGCAGACATCCAGTTGTCCAGCTGTTCTGCAGGCCTGGAGGCCTCCATGACCTGGCCCAAATGAGCCCTCCAGCCTTCACGCCACAGCCTGCACACCCTTACCCTCTAGCCTGGCTGAATTCCTGAGCACAGCACTTCTGCTCAGTTTCCATCCCCAGGACGCTTACCCTTGCCTCTCTCATCTACCCAGTGCATATCTACACCTCCGTCAAGCCTCAGCTGAGAAGTCACCTTCTCTCAAGAGCCTCACCTGTCCTTTCCAGGTGGAGTTAACAGTTTCCAGCTCAGCATACACATTTTTCCTCTCTTACACCACAGTCCACAGAATTGAATATCTCTTTGCCTCTCTCCCTGGAGACTGTGACCTCCATCCCCCTAGGGATCCAGATCATGTTTCATTCATCTTTGTATCTCAGTGCCTGACTGCAGGCCCTCAGGAAAGGTGTGTTGACTGACTAAATGATCAAAGCAAGAGCCTTATATGGAAAACACACACACGCACAAGGAGTGAGCAGCGGCATTTGGCTAGATCCTACTTCTTCCCACTGCTGACTCTTCCCTGCTATGGCCCTCCCAGGCTAGCCTGGCCCAGGTCCCACTCACCGGCTGCCCTGGGTAATGGTGGGCACGATGTCATGGCTGGCACGGAGGGGCCGGGTCCTGGCCTTCATGCGGGCACGCTGTAGCAGATGCGTGGCTTCCTCATGCCTGGGGCTCAGCACAGGCTCCGGCTTGGGACCAACGGTCCTGCAGGGTGGCACACAGGCCAGGGTGGAGAGGGAGGGATTAGAAGAAAATAATGCGGATTAGGAGGGCTTTAGCAGTGTTAAGCACTGGCTCTGCCAGAAAAAGCGCTGCATGTGCAGCCTTCCTCCTCTAGCACCCACGCACAGGGAACCCCAGCCTGGGGGCCTGGGGCCTGGGGCTGGAAAATGGCCCTGCGTGGCTCTGGATGGGGGCTGGGGAGCCGGCCTGGCCTTGGACATCTGCTCAGGCACTGGAGGCAGAGACCTCAAGAGAATCTAGAAAGGGTGGGAGAGTCTCCAGATTATTCTATTGTTCCTTCCCCAGGCAGACAGCAGGAGCTATCTGGGAGGAGGAGGGAGAAAGGGCTTGGGGTTGTTGGGCTGGGCCTGTGCCCAGACAGATGGTCTCTCCACGCATCACCTCTCTCTCCTTCTGTCTCTCTGCACCCACACACAGCACCACACTAGTTCCCCCTGCAGATGCAAAGAATCAGGGCTCTGTCCAGCATAGATTGGGCCCTTTGGGGGAATGGCATTTTTATAAATCCTGGTGTTTTCTTGCCTTAGTCCCAATCCAAAACCATTAGGCACCAGCTCAGGGCTCACAGGCTCAGGGCTGAGAGACATTAAGCTGGACCCAAACCAAGTCAGCAAATGGCTTGATTTTCGTAATAATAAGGGTCCTCCACTAGCTCCCACCCCCTACCAGATGTGCCGCCTCCCTGGCCAGTCCAGAGTTGCAGAAAATGACAGCAGTCCTTTTTCAAAGCTGTCTCTCAGCCACTGACACACAGCCTGAGCTGGGTTACAGCTATAACAGCAACCCACAATCTCCCACTGACAAGCCGTCGTTCTCCACGGAGCTTGCTCTCCGCAGCCAGGCTGGCCGAGGGCAGGTGTTCTCTCCACTTGACGGATGAGGGTGTCCAGAGCAGAGAGGAACACTGGCACATTGTTCAAGGTCGAACCGCAATTGCAAGCTGAGCAGAGCACACGACAGCCAGCCCACTGCCTCCAGCGTCGTTCCGCACCCTCTGTCCCCTCCCGCCTTGGGTCTCAGGGCAGGCAGAGGATGTTTGTGGCTGGGGGCAGACACGCTCTTCGGGGTAACTTCATCATCCCCACTGGCTGCCCCTGTCCTCACCGTCACATATGCTGGGCTGTCCTCAACAGTGAGGGTCCACAGGGCTCCAGCAGGTCCTGATCGCAGCCCTGCAGCCCCTCACCCCACCCTGTATTCCACATGAAAAAGGGGGCCTGGTCCTGACTAGGGGAAGGGACCAGGCAGTTTTCTTGGATGACAGAGATGTGAGTGGAAATGGCACAGCTCTGAGGCCTCCAAGGAGGGCTTCCTTGGACATCCTTGGACAAACTCTGGGCAGACTCTGATTTCTTTTCTTGTTTCCTTTTCTTTTTCTTCTATTTGCATCGAACCCTGCTTTGAGGCCGCTGGGGAGCAGGAGGTGACTGCTAGAAGAAAGGCACCATCTGTGCCTGTGAACCCTGGCAGGGCCCAGGCATGGCTTTGGAACAAGGAGGGCTTTACTGGAGTGATGTGAAAGCGAATCTCCAGGCCCGCTGCCCCATGAAGCCTGCTTTGGCAGGAGAGGCCTCCCTCTGCACAGCTTCCCGAGCAGACAGCTCCTCCAAGGTGGCTGAGAGCAGCTGTGCTCCCTGGGGCTCTTGCTCCAACAGCAGAGATAATGAGGTTACCAGCCCGGAGAGGCGCCCCTGCAGCCGTGGGCCTCTGGCTGCCAGCCCGCACACTCAGAGCCTTCCGGTGACAGCTGTGGTTCCACGGCTGTCGGAGGGCATTTGTCACAAGACTTGGTGGGCAGGCAGGAGGGCGCCCAGGCAGCTGGCCAGATGCTGCCAGGATCAGCCTTGCCCCCAGGTTTTTAAGCCATTTTCCAGCTTTGCTATTTCCTTTCTGCTCCCTCCTCTTGGAGCTGTTACTTTTTTTTTTCTCTCATCAGCTGTCTTGCTTCAGTTCCTGGCAGACAAGCTGGTTCTCCACTGATTAGAAAAGCAGGGCTTTTTAGGCGCCTGGAGGCATCCATGCAGTACCACACTGAGCACAGAGGAGTGGCAGTCACCTTCACAGCCTGCAGCCAAGGTCACTGTGCACCCTGGGGAAGCGGGGGCCTGACCAGCCCTGTGGAGAGAAGGTGGTCTTCCTCTGAGGCAGGGAGTAAGCAGGAGAAATGGGGTGGGTGCTGAGTCTGTCCCGTCTCACTGCCCACCTTCAGCTCCCACAGTTGCTCTGGAAAATTCCTAGAAGGGCTGGGGTGGTCAGTGCCATGGCCAGGCAAAGGCAGTTCCCACCTAAGAATAGACGGCTTTTGCCACTCTCTTGAAAGCCTGCACTTCTGGAGCTCATTAGCTCAGAGGATGGAGCATAGGAATAAAGTGGCTGAGTGCTTTTCCTCCCTGGGCCTCAGTTTCCCCAGCTGCAAGCAGTGGGGACTGGAGAGGAGAGAGGATTCACATTGCTACCCTGTGAGCCCAGATCTTTGGCCACATAGTCTGATATGCCATAAGGTGGGGTATAGGATTTCAAGGTTCCCCCCTTGGGGGAGGTCCCACAACAGATGTTTGGCCCCCACCAAGTGGCAGAGCCTGTAAAGAGCTCATTGTTGAGGAAAACTAGAGTTCCATTAGCGTATGCTGGCCCTTCCCCCACCCCTCCAGCCACCTGTGTCCTCCACTGGTTCACAAGGACAAAGGGCGGCGTGCGGTCCCCTCCTGCTCTGGGTACTCCCGTCTCGGCCAGTTTCCTGGTGGAGGGACGGGCTTAGCTATGGCTTTGCTCTCCCTCCAGCCAGCTGGGGCAGGAGAACCACCATTGCTCTCCTAGCCAAGGAGGTCAAGGGGACAGAGTGGCCTTCTTCTGCAGCCATCAAAATCCTGGATTAAAATAATAAGCTCAGCGAGTCTGTGTTCAACCCTTTCAACTCAGGTACATGGATGGAGAAATCATTGGGAATATACAGGGATCTGCCGCTTCCCAGGTTCCAGGATGCACCCAGTAGAGGGAGAATATGGAGCGTACAGAACATAGATAAACTTTTCTACTTAGCATTTGTTCCACGTTTGCGTATTTGAAAGCTTTCTGATGACCATGGATAGAGCTCTCCTACTGTGATTCTGTGTGCAATTTTCTGAATGAGGGGAAGTGGAAAAGGTGCACCTGGAACTGGTTCTATGTCATGTGCTCCATGAGGGCAGGGACCTAGCCTCAGACTGTCAGCTTGGTTGCACCGGTCCCTTCTTCCCAGGTCTGCAGGACATGGACAGGACACAGCCTAGAGTGGCGGGGAAGTGTGTGGCTTGGGGGCAGCCTGCCTGGGGTTCTACCCTGGACAGCCACTTCCTAGCTGTGTCACCCTGGCAGGTTACTTAGGAGTTCAGCCTCAGTTTCCCTATCTGCTAAATAAGGGCCCAGTTGTTAAGATAAGTGAGAGTGGCTCCTTTAAAAGAGGTGAGCACAGAGCTGGGCTCTTGGTAAGAGTCTGTAAATGTTAGCATTTATTATCATTATTTTATCATTAGCACCATTGTTTTGTGAAATTACTCTCACCCCCTTACTAAGCAAAGGATGGAATCCCCGAACATGTACTAAAGTCACCTGCAAAGAGATCACCTTGTCATCAGCAAGGAGAAGGCATATTTGAAGTGACAAACACCACCTTGTAGCTGGAGGGGGCCTGATGGCTTTGCTCTGGACTTTGAAAAGCCTTTGACAGGGCTCCATAGAAAAGGTGGCTTCCATAGGATAGAAAACAGGAGGAGGCCGGCTGGTCGTGGAGGAAAGCTGACTCCCAGGCAGGCAATAGGCCCTCCTGTCAGTGGAGAAGGAGGAGTGGGAGTCCTTAGGAATGGCAGCTGGGAGAACCCACCTCCTGCAATACCTTCGAAAGGATCTGCGTGGAGGCCTGCGGTGTGCACCCAAGGCGCCGACTTCCGAGGACAGCAGAACCACCCTGTTCCTGCCTTCCGGAAGATGAACAGATTCCCTGCTGAGCCCCAGAAGGAGGCTTCGGGCTGCCCCTTTGGTGAGAACCTCCTGGCCTCAGGTGTGGGACCTGGGTGGCCACAGAGGAGGCGGGTGTCTGAGATGCCCTCAGATGGGGGACCAGTGGCCTGTTTAACTCTGGTGGGCAGGGGAGAGGGTTTCCTTTCCTAGAAGTTCAGATGAGCTCCCACAAGTCGAATGGCCTTGGGTAAATGGACTTTCTTGAGCTCCTTGATTGGTCAAGATTGGGACCATCATGAGATTTTTCATGTGTGGTGTGTATGTGGGCGTGGCAATGACGCAGCATGGGACAGGGTATCTGGAGGCTCCAGGTGGCACTGGGTTTGTGGCAGGGCTTCCTTCTCCACCCAGGGTCAGACACTGGGAGCGTGTTAAGTATCCGAAAACATTGTTGAGTGGTTACATTTAATTTTTTCTTTTGCTTTAGTCTCGGTGGGACTGGGAGTGGTAAGGGGGCTTTCCTTTGTGCGTGTGTATCAGTGGGGTGGGATGGGAGCTGGGGGTGGTAAGGACAGGCAGGGGCTCAGCCGTTCTTGGTTACACCCATGCCCTGGGGTGTTCTCAGGCACCTCTATAGCCCTGGGCATGCTGGGGTGGTGCCAGAGTGTCTCTTCTCCTGCACTCAGCCGGGACTCCCCATGCCTCCTTGCTGAGCCCTCACTCACACTCTGTACTACGTGCCTCTGTCAGACATTTCTGAGAGCCTTTTCCCTGCACACACTCGCAGGCACTGGGTCCCGGAGACAACAACAGCACAGTTCTTGCCCCAGGAGCTCAGGGAGGAGATACACCAGTGCCAGCTATGGCTGCAGCCGGTGCAGGGCACAGTGAGAGCAAAAGTGACCAGTTCCATGTGAAATTGTTCTGGATCACACCCAGTGGCCGGCTCGCAGGGGAGCTCTGTGCTTCTGTGATCTAATAAATATGGATTTGATCCCTGCTCTTGGCGCCTGGCACACAGCTCC